GGCGAATCATAGCTCATGAATTCCAGTTGTTACTGATTTGTATACGTTATAAAATCAACCTGAACGACAACGAATTTAGACGTTAGTGCACAAACTAAATTTCTGTTGATCTCAAACACTGCTCTTGTTTAGTATTTTTTTGTCACTTGCTACGAAGATCAGAACTAAACTCTGCTTCGAACTAAACTAACGGAACAGGAGTCTTCAAATTTCAACATTCTAGGACTAATATTAACTTTGTTTGTGATACACCGATATTGGCTACGCACCTCGTCGGCTATAAGCTCATATAAACCATGTATAATTATTTAAGAATTAAAAAACGAGTTGCGTACTTTTATGGTGTAATAATGCACGATGGGGGAATGTTGGGAGAATACGAGAGAAGCTTGTAAAACACGAGGCGTAGCCGAGTGTTTTACAAGCTTCTCAAGTTTACACCTATTACACCATAAAGGCACGCGACGAGCTTTTTTAATTATTTTATAATATAAGAAGAAATTATAGGGCAACAACAAAATTTATTTATTTGATCAATAATGAAATACTCCTTACATGTTATTTAAGATGTTGCTTAGCAACCAAAACTTCAAAGCCAGAAGCGTGCATTATGGCCTCACAATGCACGCGCGGTGGCCAATCAAATTGCTCGTTATATCATACTTATATTATAAATTCTTTTAACTGAGGTCAGGCTTATATGCGGTGTAAAATATTTGCACTTTATATTTGCAATTTATACATCTTTCTCCATGTAATTCAGTTTTGAACTGCAAAGTGCTTTTCAATAAACTATTCTCATATGTATAAACAGCTCTCATATATAAACAGCCCTTGTACAAGCCTTATATCTATGTATGTAACTTAGTGAGCGTTCATGCAGCTCATTTTGCTACCCTTTGTGATTGGCTGAATGCTTTTACTCCGCCCCCGACAGGGAAGGTCGTTTTTGAGCGAAAATAATCATTAGCAAATACTGTAACCATCTCTAGAAGAAAGTAAAGATATCCACTTATGATATATAAAGATATAAAAAATCGTTATTTGGACACAGAAAGTTAGTAACACGACAGTTAATATGGAATATAAATTGTTTGGAGACCACATAAAACTACAATACAGCTAATTAACTATGTTGAGGTAAATTTATGCCAAAAATTGTTCCTTTCTCATCTCATGTCTTTTGTATTTTACACAGATAAACCAATAGAAATCTTATAATTAACATATTTTTCAAGGCAAGGATGAGGAGCTTAAAGCAGCAAGACGAATGCCATTGGAAAGTTTGGCTAAAATACAATGGACACGTGACGAGAAACGAACCATTTTTTGCATAAACCTGGAAATACACATTGTTAATGAGTTGAATTGTACTACAACGAGACATGCAAACACAACATTAACACTTTGAACGCGTCACAACAATAGGCTTCCAATTGATTCAAATAGAATGCATAATTGGTTGTAAAGTTGTAGATATAGCTATCCAGTCTTGAAGTTTTTTAGGCTGTTGCTGAAATTCTTTCACTAGAACATTTTTTGAAGAAGCATTCCCGCGTCACTGAACTCTATGGTGGAAATGGCGACTGCCTTCACCATATTGAGAAGTTTTGATGCTGCCAAATGGTTTCCATCTAACAGGGCCCGGCGCAGTCGGATCTCCACCTCTACCGGGACAGTTCCTTTTGCGGAAGAGTTCCTTTTTTGGTTCACTCCCGCGCAGCAAAGTTGCACAAAAATATCAAACAACTACGGTTATTTGTTACGCACACAGTGTCGGGAGGGGAAGAGTCAACATTAGAAGTACATTAGGGTTTAAAACTCTACCGTCACCGTACGCGCGGCCCGGCTTTTACATCGATATTCTTCTTTTGACAGATATGATCGGGAAGTTACGGATATTCAAGATATACAATATTAAGAATATATAAATATTACGAATGAAATTTCACATTGTAGTAAGGTCAATCCACACGGGCGATTTACTTTCAAAAAATGAAAACTGGCGCAACGGAAATTTAAGCCAGATGACCTCACTTGGCCTAAAAAAGTGACCTCACTTGGCCACAGCTTTGAAAACTACCCCCGTTCTCACATGATCCAAGTTACACCCCTGGTTAACTATATAAAGCTTTGAAATGTTTTAAGCTAGTGGTATGTGTCTATAGTATAATTGTTTCATTCCGTGTTTCCTGTATGAGGATGCAGTTTATCCCCGAGCCGGTGCGGAGCACCGTGCGAGGGTACTAATTCCGCCCGGAGATTAGGAATTACACCCGGGACCCGGGAGAACATAGCGGAATCCAAAGTTGCCCAAATGTCATGGACGTTCAATGGTCATGGTACTTGTGCGCATGCGCGAAATGCGAACGAGTGTAGACTGGTAATCAGCAACTTCCTGATTGGCTAAGACGAAACGTTTGTGTTTCAGTGAAAAACGTCAGCAATTTAACTGTCATTTTGCAAACTGCCAAACTATTTTTTAAAAAAATGTTTCGAAAACAAAATATGAAATGTGGAATCAAATAACAGATAAAACACTGGAAGAGTTTAAAATATTATCAGAACTGGAGGAATTAGCGGTGAAAAGGAACAACTCGATTATAATCCTTGAAATGGTAGGAGTCTATTTTGTTTATTTCGAGGTTTATTTCGTGTTTGCTGTACGAATACATTTTATGACCTTGGTACAGTATGTCGTTTTGCTCGGTTTTGCGAAGACGTGACCGAATATTTAAGCCTTTACATCATCGTTTTAACCTCCAAGAGAGTCCTTAAAAGTGTAATTCGGAGTTTTAATATAACAAATATCACTTTAAAGGTTTATATATAGTCGACTGCAATCACTGCATGAATTTAATAATCGAAAAACAACATTCGACGTTCACTGCTTGGTTATTTATATTATTTTGGCTGGTTTGATGTTTTGAAGGTTTAGCTATAATGAAGTATTAACTCTCACTTAAACTGTGAAAGTCTATAACTTAATGCAACGGAAAGCAGCAGGAAAACGGGTGATTTCACTTCACCTTTACGACTGTGTTTGTTTCCGAAATATTTGAAACATCAGCTATCGGCTTTACATTTAGGACATTTCATAATATTGAAGGTTAGGTCTGGCAAGCTCAGGAAATATTTTGCTTCGTTTGAAATGGCGAGGGGTTGCTGCATGCATGTATTTCTAGTTTATATATGATCTTGACACGTCGTTTTCCTATAAATCATAGTCGGCTATGAAAGGCTTTTACACCATCGCTTTAACTTCAAAAAAGATTTTTGAAAGCGTAAATCACAAGTGTGTTTTGTGATTAGAAAATTTGTTTGTGGATAGATATCAATGACAACCTGCTTATCTGAGATCATGACGTCATAAAGCGTCTCGAAAAAACTGAGTTATCATGCGCCAGGTGGTATTTGTCCCTATTCTTCTAAGTAATAGTATAAAGGGCGAAAATTTTAAATTTTAAACTAGAAATACATGCATGCAGAAACCCCTCGCCTCGGTTTAACAAAATTAGTTATTAATTAAGCATAGGGATGATAACATGATTGTTAGAAAAATTACGTATGTGAGAAAAAGAAATTGAGAAAAGTGTGGAAATATTTTTCTGCACGTGGAAGCACTGTTGTCATAGCAACTCGCAACGGCCGTATATTTTTAAAGAATCAAAGTCTACCCTCATATTTTTGTGAAAAAATGGCAAAAATACGACAAGATTCTTACCTTTTTCTGGAAGTTAAGTTACTCATCTATAGTCAGTGTTATGGTAAATTATTTTAATTATTAATTACCATGAAATATAAAATCAGACGTCTCATACAACTTCCGAAGTTTTATGTTACGCCTCGACTGGTTTTTGCACGGGAATGTTTTGATTTTCTTTTCTTTTTGTCATTATGAAAACGGAGTTTATAAATAAAATTATAATGTCGTTTATCACATAACACATTTAGATTTATAGTGAAATACATTTGAGAATATTAAGGTTGTGTTTACCACAAAAGAATTACTTTTTAAAGCTGTGGATGAAATATTATCAAGTGTAAAATCTTCCGAATTTGGTCTTGTTATTTGTTAAACCGTGAAAAGTCCTGACCACATTCGAGTTTCCCTCTATTTTAATTAAAAATACATATATTCTTTATTTTATGAAAACATAAAATTTGTAAACTTCATCAAAATTTTGCGAAATGACAGTTATTTTTTGACGTTTGAAAATACAAATTTTTGTCTCGACCAATCAAGAGCTTAGTGGTTCACTCTGGCGCATGCGCATAACGTAGAAGACCGTCCATGGCGTGAGGTCCATTGCATAATGGCGGACAACTTTGATTTCGCATTTGCACATCGTGGGTGTAAATATCCGAGCGGAATTAGTACCCTCGCACGGTGCTCCGCACCGGCTCGGGGATTACAGTTTGAAAAAATTAAACGTGTTTTCGCATAAATAATTATAGCAAAATTACTGGATATTTTCGAATGTCGAAGTCATATGCAATGAAGGAAATGATAATTCTGTTTTGTCGAAGATCTGGCTTCTGATTGGTTGATTTTTATACCCAGATCAGCTGTAAAGCTCAACTAAATGCTGTACTTCTGCATAATGCTGGTGAAAAATTATCTCGTTAACCTCATAGGATGACCAGGAGTATGAACAAGTAAAAGCAAAACTGTAGGCACATTCTGAACCCAAGGTCAATGTAACTTTCGAAACATAATTATATAATTTTTGGCAATTGGCGCAGGAAATGGTGGCTCACACAGACAAATTGACAAATTTATCACGCGCCTACGTGAAGCCGCTGACCGTTTTCATTTTCATGATAAGAAACGATAGATAAAGGATCGAATGGTTCAGAAATGTTTTTCGGAACGTTTGCAAAGGAAAGCTCTCAGGAAGGATCTTATTACCAATCTATTGAATGCGGCAAGGGCTATGGGTGTTCTACACGACAAAGTAAACAATATGAAAAGTTTTTATTTGGCGCCAAAAGACGCACTAACCATAAAATACATACATTATATTACAAGACGACTATAACACATAGACGACGAAGATGTGTTCAGAATAACATAACTTCTCCACACCAAAGAAAGTTTACTAAACGTTAGTGATTCTTGTTCGGCGATATCTTGCAGGTCTCGATGTATTCTGAGGTGTAGTCAGTGATGATAACATAGTTATGTCTGTGCAGAATAAACACGTCTGATGCTATTTTCGTCCAGGGTTCTTTGGGTACATTGTGTTGAATGAGTGTCTTTATTTGCTGATTGCGTCAGGCATTGCGATCAGCGGGAGACCAAGTCGTGGATTCGGATTTATGCCTGGCCAATATATAGGTTGTTGAGCACGGATTTGGCATCTGGCCTTTCGTTGTGACTCCGGTGGATTGTTTCTTTCTTGTAGGGCGTAATGAGGTAGGAATGATGATGCGTTAGCCTTTTAGGAGAAATCTTTGGTGATCTTCTTCTTACCCCTGGTGGAATTTGCTGTTGTTGCTGCTGCCAACCGGTTAATGTGAACTGTGGAGAACAGGATCACGGGCTGTCTTAGTCTGAAGTTGTGCAAGACCTGGTGCGCTTCCAGGATCGTATTCGAGATCGAAAGGGTGGGGTGCACTGTTTGATGGACTTGTGGAAGATGGAATTGAGGGGCTCCATAGAGATACTGGTGCATCCCTGCTTAACATTAAACCACGATGTCTAAACGTGTTCCTAAGGTCTCTTTAAGCAACTTCACACCTTCTTCGGTGATCTTATTTCTCCCAATATTCAAACGACGAAGACAACAACTTCGAAGTCCAAGAGTGCTCGCAAGTAATCGTAAATGTTTATCCTTGAATCCATTGTAACTTACATCCAAATGAGTGAGCTTACATCGGTCATCTCCGAGAGCTTTGCATAAGATCGGAATGCATTCGTCTGTTAAAGAACAACCGGAAATCGTCAGCCGGGTAAGATGAGATGTTCTTGTCTGAAGAACATCGCACAATTCACGCACACTTTCATCACCTAAATCGTTGAATCCAAGGTTCAATACTTCTAGCGTGCAATGTTCTTCATCAAGAGCGCGGATCAACGTGGACATACAGTTAATCGTTAAAAAACAGCCGGAAAGATGCAACTCTGTCAGATTACATGTTTCCTTTCCAATAACTTTGCACAAGATGTCTAAACCTTCATCCTTAATATCATTGCTACTAAGGTTTAATGTTTTTAATCGACAATGTTCTTCATCAAGAGCGCGGCACAACGTAGACATGCATTTTTCAGTTAGTGAACAGCTGGAAAGAGTCAACTCAGTTAGGTTGCATATTTCATTTCCAAGAACATTGCACAAGGCAAATAAACCTTCATTTTTTATATCATTGCTACTGAGCTTCAAGGTTCTTAGTCCACAATGTTCATTTCTAAGAAATTTCACGAGCCAAGGTACGCTCTCACTAGTCAGAGAACAGGAGGCAAGATTTAAGGTTTCAAGATTCAAGCGCCTTTCTTGCATTGAGATAGATAGAATACGAACACCTTCATCACGAATAGGATTGTAGCTAAGGTCAAGATCTGTCAACTGATTATAAACCTGATTATCTAAAACACCAGCCATACCAGCAGCAGTAATAGTGTTTCGTCCAAGATTCAACATGGTGAGCTTGGAATACTCATGATTCACCAGACAACCAGATTTCAATAATGCACCAAGATGCTCTAGACCCGAGTCACCAAGATGACAACCAACGATGTTGAGTGATTTCATGCATCTTCCTTGGAGTAATTTCAACAGTTCCAACGAACAATCCAAACTGGATAAATACTTCACATCTAAACTATTTAAAATCTTCATATGCTTGCAAAGAAACACAACTGCCGTTATATCGCTTGGAGAAAGCAATGATGCTTTATGGTAGGGACATGAGATCTCCGTCACATCTTTTAGAATAGAGGTCGCAACAATTTCTCTGGCAATATTTTCATTCTGTGTTTCTCTTAAACATTTCATCACAAGTATTTGATAAAGATCGAGGAAACAAACCGTTTCTTCATTACTAATTTCGCAAGTAAAATGTTCTTTAAACATCAACACACAGCTTCTGTATTCATGAGATGTCTCCATTTTCTCTCGCAACAATCCAGCAAGAAACTGAAGCACCAGATGCCATTTGCCATGTTTGATATGAGAAGATATGAATTCTTTCACTTGTTCGGGGGTATTTGTTTCCACAATATGCTTCGCCGCGAGAAATTCTTGGAAAGTTAAATGAATAAAGCAACCTTGTTCTTGAATTTGAAAACTTGGCTTAGGTAACGAGTTTAACAATCCTGATCCCTTTATTTTCTCGTCAACATTGAAAATCAGTTTGTCTTTTTCCATACCGTTAAAAGCCAACTCTCGCAGTATTTTTAGAACTTCTTCTTGGTTTTCATTTCGATCATGATACTTATTGAAGTAGACTAAGGCCAACTCGTACAGTTTAGTCAAAGTAGTTGGTAGAGAACCAATATCACCATCTGAATCAATAAGACATTCGAACAGAGCAACGCAAACAATAAAACAATTCACTGGAATGTAGCATAAATTCTTTACTTCAGATGATGATTTGATATGACTCAGCATTGTTGCTTCTAGATCACACTTGTTATGATTAGCACAGAACTGTTTTACATACTGCTCTATTTTATCAGATGTGAAGCCGATGATCTCAACAGTTCTTCCAAAATGAAGTTTGCACAAAACATCATTTACAATTGGCCTGCTGGTCACCAAAACTGTTGCTCCTGGTAACATTTCGCCCGACAAGATTTTGACAAAAAGAGACATTGCTGACATTTGGCAAGAAACATCATTGCTAGAATACTTCTTCGACTGAGCTAGGACATACTGAATGTTTTTTACATCGGCGCCAAATTCATCCAAGCCATCAAAAATGAAAATAGCATTTTGTGGATTTTTCCAAATTTTTTCAAAAAGACCTTCAAACTCATCTTCATTTAGTTCGGTTCCAAACTGTAGAAATTTTTTAATTGTTAAGTATTGCATCTCTTTGAAAATGAATTCTCGAAATTTAAAGTAGAAAGCGATCCTATTGTGATAAATTTTATCATCACCTTTTGCCCAATCGGACATAATTTTCCTGGTCAAAACAGTTTTTCCGATCCCAGGACGCCCAATTACCAAGATGGTGGAAGGGACATTATAGTTAGTATCTTTGTTTGCATAAAACAGATCTTTAATCTGTTTCAGATGTATCGACTTTTCAGGAACTTTCATATAAACATCATAGATTTCATGCCTAGTCAAATCTTTTGAAAATTTAAGTGGTGCTTGCCCCGAGTGGATAACAACATCGATAAACATCATATCTAAGCTTGTATTATTTAAACCGTAATTTATGTCTGGCGTAAGAAAAAACTTCATGACCTTTTGCTTGTAAATGTCACAACTGTTGGCTACGTATCGCTTTCGAAGAAAATGTTCATTAATAAATTGCAAATCACATGACCATGTAGAAGATTGAGGGGTGAGACGGAAAAATCGCTTCTTCAGTAGATAAACAATTTCTGCTAATGCAATTACAGCAAAAATGCCATTACAAACAGACACAATTGTCAACCAAAACTGTTTATCTTTGGCAGCCGAGTTCGTACATTCTACACTAGATAGGTTGGCACTTCCATTATTTGCTGGAGTCATGTTGGGATCGACTGATCTCAATTCGCGATAAACACAACTGAATTGAGAATCATAACCACTCGGATATAATACCGTATACTGAAGGATTGTGAATAAGATACAGAGCATTGAACGAGCCACAAGGTGGAACATATAGAAATTGAAAACATAAAAGGTTTTTCTACCTTGTTCATTGTTTCCTCTCGCGACTGTTTGAGGTTCATCACTTCTACTTGAGAGTCTTACTGCATCTTCGATACGATTGCCAACAGCAAGCGAATAAACGACACTCACAACAACAACAGAACCAAAATTGAACGGAACGAAGGCGGAGAATTTCACAGGAGAGTTGTACTCGTTATCGTAGATTGAAAAACACGTTTTCTCGACATAACTTTTGTGAGTTGCATATCTTGTGTCGACAGCACAATTGAACCTTTCCATCTCGCTAAGTCTGAGAGACGTTGTAATTGCAGTAAATATCACTCCACAGTGAAGATGGATGACCACACATATGTAGGATAAGATGCTAAATCTCTTGGATATTATATATTCTTTAACACCATCCATAATTTTTGAAGGAAAGATATAATATGCTATGTGATATACAGCTTGCTACGTGTAAATAGTTGATTGTTGACATGCGAAAGACGTATGCGACGGTGTATTCAGTTCATATGTAAATATCGAAAACAAAAGATCTTTATTGTGATTGGTTAGATGTATAATAATTGCAAATGAGACGTATGCATGCATGCTGGTTCTCGTCAAAAATAATTAGAACTTGTTGCGTACAATGTCAGTGTCTTTTGGATCTCCCGAGTTCTTTATATTTATGTTCGCATGTTATCACGCTTATGTTATGTTGTCGCTATCTCTGCACGTGATTGTCGGCAAAGAATCCCATACCCACAGAATCTGCGTCTGTCAGAAAACAATCATAACATGCACACAAAGACATGCAGCTAAATTTTAATTAAACACAATAGATCCAAACTCGTATATTAAAGATATATTATTCTTGACAGATATTTCTGTCGTTAAAGGCAATGAATTGAAATGAGTATTTGCTTATAATTTATAGAACTTCTCGTTGGACCGCTGTTAGACTAACACATACTAACTATAGGTAAGTCGTCTTGCTCTATTATAATATGAGAGGTACCACATCATTGCTAGGCGTTTTAACTTATTGCCGCATTAATTGTTGGCAAATACACAAAAAAGTACAATACTCAATAATACATATAAATGGAAAGGTTTGCAAGCAAATACTAAAAAATTATTGAAACTACCATGTCGTGCTCAATTTCTGTATATATCTGTGTAAGTTTTTCAAAATTCAAAAACCTATATTATATATTATAGCTAATAGCTTGCGTTCAAGTACTTTGCCAAACAGAACTGCAAAACTAATCATGCATAACTAATTTTCGGTAATGACTCTGCTACCGGCGTTTTCCGGCGGCTTCCGAAACTGAATATTGCAAGCAGTGATTGCAAAAGTCAGTGTAATATCATCCCGGGCAGACATATGCAGTATTTATGTGGCAGAAAATATCCCGTTTAAAGCAGGATCCGTTCCGTTCGTTTTCTGGCTGTTTCCGAATCTGAATACTGCAATTCAGCATAATATCGTCCTGGTGACCCGGTCAGGCCACAATTAATAAAATTTATAATATAGCTAGTCACTGTATATGAGCTATTCCGCAATCTGATGGTGGAGCTACCCACGTATATCAGCTCATTCACGGTGGGTAGCAAAACCAACGAAAAAACTGAACAAAATGGCAGACGTTGTATAAAAGACTATAGTTAACTTTTAACTGTAGTTAGAGACAGAATTGGTCAATCAGATTTGTGTATATCTGAGTTAACTCTGGGATTTAACCATGCAAAATGTAGTTAAAGAGTTTTATACAACCGGCCACAGGCTTATTCCAAAAATGGTTCCTTTCTAGTCACGTGTCTATTGCATTTTAGCCAAATTTACCTGACATGAAAAATATGTTAATTATTAGAAATGTTAGTCGTCTTTCGCTTGAACATTTTTTCAAGAACCATCCCCGCCTCTCCCAATCGAGTTTTTCGGCGCATTATCTAATTTTCATAGTGAACAACCTCTCGGTGAACAACTAAATGCATTCATTCAATGCTATCTTGTCATCAGGTTACGTCACTACGGAGTCACATGAGATGCGCATGCGTGCATCGCCAATCAGTGCTAGCGTCTTTGCCAAGAAGTACACAAGGTAAAATAAATTTTCTATTTTAAATCCACCGTAATCCTCCATGTATTTTCACATTTCAGTTCTATCCTTTTCAGGAATGGTAAGTTTTTAAATTATTAATATAGTTTGCTGGTTTTAGGCAAGTTTCAACGAATGAAATTATGGAAATTTCAACAATAAATGAAGGCGTTGACGAACATGCCGTCGGGTCACCGACCCGTGAAACGCGAAATACTGACAATGCGGGTATTAAAACTGATATTCTCCTGGATATCCAAGAAAGTATGGGACAAGTAGCAAGTCTACTTTCCACTTTGTGTAAAAATATGCCTCCGCGCATCTTAAACGATGAGCGCCCACTGGGCGAGAGCTCATCTCAAACGGGAAGCACGCAAGACCATGTTTTTGAACAGGACGATGTTGACGAGCTTGCAAGTCAAGTTGATGCCGACGATAGACCACCCAAACGGCGTCGTCAAATGGATGAGCTCAGTCTTCACCCAAGTGAAGATGAGAAAGATCTAGAACTACTTACTGGCACGGCCACAGTAGGAAAAAGTCCACCGGATGAAATTGAACACGAATTTCTCACTGAGCTAGCTGATATGCTTGAAAAGAATGAGGCTACTGGACCACCGGTCACAAAACAGTTGGCAGACATCACTGATAAACGATGGGGAAAACATTTGCCTCCTGAGAAAATAAAACTGCTCACAGAGCGTTATGAGACACCAGAGAATTGTTCAGAACTACTCCCAGTTCGTGTAAATCCCGAAATTTGGGACCAATTGAATTCTTCTCGAAGAAAAACTGATTTGCAGTTGTCAAATATTCAACAATCAGCTCGGAAAGTGGCTGTGGTGATATTGCAAATTGTGAATGATTTGTTACCCCAAACAAAGGACGAGGCCAGTAAGAAACTGGCATCTCGTTTTGTTGATTCCATTGCATTGCTTGGTCATATGAGTAGTGATCTATCACGTCTCAGACGGGAACAAATCAGACCTGCTTTAAAGAGAGAGTTTGCCACAATTTGTACCAAAGAAATACCCAATGGCCCCCTTCTATTTGGCTCAGACCTTCCAAAACAGTTGAAGGAGGCCAAGGAGACTGATACCATTGGTAATTCCATTGCAATTCCAACCAGAAAGCGTTTTGCTAACTATAGAACAAAACCATATGAGTATAAAAAGACAACTTACCCGCCAAATCAGAACACCCGAAATTACAAGGGGAAACCTTTTTTGTCCAAAGGCTACCCCAACAACAAAAAGAAAAGACAGCCACCGGCATCCGGGATGAGATCATAAAAGGTCTTCAAGAAGTAAAAAATAATGTACGTTCATTTTCTTTGTTTATTCCTATATTGAAACAATTTTTGCAGGCGTGGTGTGAGCTATTTGTAGGTGGGCAAGCATCACATTATTGGTCTGAATGGGCCAAACTAACTAATGATAAACACTTGATAGCTGATATTAAAGGGATTGAGATTGAATGTAATGAAACACCAGTTCAGCATATGATGAAACATTCACAAAGGGATAACATCCACAATGAACTGTTAGGCCAGGAAATAATTTCTTTACTAAATAAAAGCATAATTGAGCCTGCTGAGCCAAAGTTAGGTCAGATTATATCTGGAGTATTTTTACATCCCAAAAAGGATGGCTCCAATCGACTTTTCTCAACCTTAAACAATTTAATGAGGTGGTTGAGTATCACCATTTCAAAATGGATTCTCTTTATACAGTTATAAGTCTCATGGAACAAGACTGTTTCATGGCTTCTATAGACATTAAGGATGCATATTATTCATTTGCTATTAATCCCACAAATCGAAAATATTTATGTTTCATGTGGAATGGCCAACAATTTTGTTACACATGCCTTCCTAATGGCCTCTCTTCGGCCCCAAGGAAGTTTACAAAAATTTTAAAAGTGCTATTATCATATTTGCATGAGCAAGGCCACATTTCTCTTGGCCACTTGGATGATTTTTATTTACAAGGGAAGACATACTATCAATGTGTGCTGAATATAGTGGATACAGTTCAAATGTTTGCCAAATTGGGCTTGATCTCTCACCCAGAAAAATGTAATTTTATTCCTTCTCAAACTTTAACCATTTTGGGATTTGTTCTAAATTCCAAAATGATGACTATAACATTGACTGATGAAAAAGCAACTAATTTGAAAAAATTATGTCAAGATCGTCTAAACAGAAAATCTTGCACAATACGAGAGATTGCTCGGGTGATTGGTAAGCTGGTGTCTAGTTTTCCTGGTACAATGCATGGCCCCCTCTACTACAGGAAATTAGATGGGGATAAAACCCTTGCATTACAACAAAACAAGGGTGATTTTGATACAGTAATGACTATATCACAAGCTGCTAAGTCAGAATTGACTTGGTGGGTGCACAACATTACATCTACATTTAACATAGTCTCCCATGGACCACCAGAAAGGCAGGTCACGACTGATGCTTCCCTACAAGGTTGGGGAGCTGAATGCAACAACATTTCTACAGGTGGGCCATGGACGACCAGGGAAGCTCAACACCACATTAATTACTTGGAAATGTTGGCTGTATTTATGGGATTACAAACGTGTGTTAAAGATGAGCAGAATATACATGTTCGGGTTAGGTTAGACAACACAACAGGTGTAAATATCCTGAACCACATGGGTTCAAGTCATTCAGTAGATTGCAATGATATTTGCAAAACCATTTGGGGTTGGTGTATTGCCAGAGATATCTGGTGAAGTGCTGCTTATTTGCCAGGAAAGAGCAATACAATAGCAGATAGAAGATCACGAGAACATAACAATTCTTTAGAATGGATGTTAAACAGGCAAATGCTACTTGATTCATTACATCAGTTGAGATTTCAACCTGACATTGATTTGTTTGCTTCTCGTATGAATAACCAATTTGATAGATACGCGGCTTACAAACCTGACCCAAATGCAATAGCTGTCGATGCATTCACAATGCTCTGGACAGAATTAAAATTTTATGCCTTTCCTCCATTTAGTGTGGTATCAAAAGTATTGAGCAAAATTTGTCAGGAGAAAGCAGAAGGCATTGTTGTTTTACCAAACTGGCCCACACAAAGTTGGTTTGCGAAAGCAATGCAAATGTTAGTACAACCACCTGTTCATTTGAAATCGGGCAAAAGCCTGCTCACTCTACCATCGAAACCGATGGATCTACATCCACTACATGCCAAGTTGTCACTCATGGTGTGCCATTTATCAGCCAAGCATTAAGCAAACATAATCTTTCGGATGCAGCTCAACATATCCTGATGTCCTCATGGCGAGCGGGAACACTAAAACAGTACCAAACACATTTCACAAAATGGAACCAGTATTGTATTGAAAATCAAATCGATCAATTC